AAAAGAAATTGTCGTCTCTTTTATACAATATTACGTATAATCATTCAGAAAACTTAAGTGAAAATAATTTGAGAAAAAAATTCCCTTGGATTGCAAACTTAAGACAAATTTTTATAAATTGCGGTTTTTTGTAATATATGGGATACACAAAATTTTGGAAACGAGAAGTGGCTGAAATTAGAAATTAGACAGAAACTAAAAGATATTTTTCTAAATGATTGGTATTCCGTTATTCAAAACTCTAGCAAAAGTTCATTCTACAGAATATTCAAAAAAGAATTTAAATTCGAAAAATACCTTTTATCAACCCCTAAACCTTTTCTTCGTTACATGATAAAATTTCGTACACGTAATAGAAACCGGAAATTGGGCCCGAATACCAATCAATTAAAGAACATGTACTTCTTGTAACAATGAAATAGGCGACGAATTTCATTACTTATTTGCATGTGTTTTGCTTAATGATGAAAGAAAGAAATTTTTTAAAACCCTATTATTACAGACGTGCAAATACATTCAAACCAGAACAACCAATTAATACAGAAAACAAGAGCGAATATTTGAAATTATGTTAATTTGTTAAAACAATAATTTTAAGATAATCAAATTAGTATTCACCTCATATGTGATTACTTACATTCCAAGACTATTACACGAATATTTCACAGATTAATCTTTTATTACCCATTGTAATGTGTTTGTTTGTTATAATATTTGTCTAAATAGTATGACACTTTTTTCATTTAGCTTATAAGAGTCTATAAATGTCATTGTAAAGGTTTAAAATATTATGTCGTACATAATTGTACATCACTTGTCAGTTGTTTATATTATTATTTCTTTTCCCTTTTTCTTTTATGTAACTATTCTCATCGTTTGTCGATAAATAAAAAGAAAGGTAATATAAAACGAAATTATACCCTTAGAGAGTATCTAAATTACGTTACTCTCCACGGTTTTTTGTGGTAACATATTTTCTAAGAACTTTAACAATTTGTGGTTTTGATACATTGTTAATTGAACGTACTGCAGTTCAGCAAATGATATGAATAAATACACTTTTTACGAATTATTTTACCACTCAAATTATATAATTATACATTGTACATTTGTTTAAAGAGCATCTACTTACATTGTACTTATTACTGACCATATTTATTCATGTTAACATGAAATGTGTGTAATAAAGGAAATTTGACTTGACTTGACTTGTTAATTAGTAAACCATCGATAGGGAGATTAAATCTTCCTGCAGGGTAAACATTCTCGATTTACAATGTGTATCACACCTTTGGATATTTCCGGTTTTTGGAGGTAACATTGCATTGATTTGACTATAATTTTACATATCGTCCGGAATTCAGAATTTAGAAGTTCCGGAATTCAGAAGTATTATATTAATAGAAAATAGAAGGGAAAAAATCGGGACCGAAAAAGATGTTCGGTTTATAGAAGTTTCCGGATTTCAGAAGTTCCGGAATTTGGAAGTTACACTGTAATTATTTAAATGTGAAAATTTGTTTTTCTTTCTAAAGTTTCTAACTGCCATTAAATGCTGGTAGTGATTCCATTATTTAAAAAAAAAACAAACAAAAAAACATAACTATACGTGGTCTTTGCATATCTTAATAAACATCAGTATCAATTGAAAATAACATTCTTTAGGTAGCTTTGACAGGATTCGACAATCAAACGGCGATAATCTTACCCTTTCAATATAATTTTCAAAAGAATAAGCAATGCAACTAAAATGGATGTAAATATAGACTTTCTACCAGGGATTGAAATCCTTAAGTCTAAATATCATTTCATAAAAGACAATAAAATGCGACTTTCTTTATTCGGCGAGCTTTATGTTTGTTAGAAGCCGAATCTCTTCTGCCCATATTATTCGAATCTGGTATAATTGTTTTCGAAAGAGAGTAGCGTCTTTTCCTTTCATCATGTGTCTCAAACTTTTATATAAGTTATTTTTCTGTAGAAATTGTTTCTTCTTCAAAGAAATTATTCTCAAAAAGGAGAATTCCACCGTCCTTGAACATAGATTAAACTTGTAAACGGCGGCGTTTTTTTTCTCGATTCGAATTTATTTCCATTAACATTAGGAAAGTCTCCTACCGATTGGAACACAAGAAAGGGCCATGGTCATTCAATTATGCCATTGTATAAGATATGCATGAACTTAAATCTTTTGAGTATTTAGTCTGTATCACAGGTTGTCCGGCAGATTCTGACAAATAATTAGGGCAATATTTAAGAAATCAAATCTTAGGGCTAGAATTAGATGTTTCAGGGCATACAAACAATATTTTAGGGGTACAATTTTGAATTTTATAACTTAACTATAGTTGCGCTCATAGCTAAATTATTCAAGGTATTTACCAGTGTTCAGTAGTCATCAAGTGTTGTTGGCTGCATCCTTAAGAAAAAAATCACTGTCATGTATTCATATCTAAAATGATAAGCAAGATCAGCTTACTGTTAATATGAAGAGCTGAAAAAAAGTATTTAAACATAACATGAATAAAAACATTTTCAGAGTTGTAAATATGTTTATAACAAAAGATAAATAAAACAGGAATTTAGTTGAAACAATGCGTTTTTAGGATTTTCCTTTGAATTTTTCATTTTCTTTAGGAATCGTATCAAAACTGAAAAAAAAGACATTTAAGGAATTTTAAGGAGGCTGGACAGCCTGGTATTAAAGTAATGTGCTAAGTGTCCATGCATTATACAGAACTTTTAATTATACAACGGACAATCGAATGATCCAATTTTCTCAGGATAAATAATTGTGCATTTCTAATGGTTCAACTTTTCTCTATTGTAAGTAAATGTATTGGAAAAGTTTCAAGTTCCTTTTAAGTGATGTCAGGAATCAGTTAGACACGGGCAGCCAGAATGAAAATCATTAAACACCAGAAAATAACTTTTTTAAAGGAAAAGTATTAAACTAAAGAGGAGATAAGACTTGAAATAGAGATGCTACACTTGAAAACATTGTTATACACATAAGTCTGTGATGAAGTGCTGATAATGAGCAAGTCATAAATTTTGAAATTGAAAGTTTATCCGCGAAGAAAAACGAAATTTATAGAAAAAATAGAAAAAAATAAGAAAATTTCAAAGTATAAGGAGGATATAATACTTGTAATACGGATACTTGGTTTATAAATCTTGTCAAATTTTTAAAATGCGTGAGTTTGAAGTAAATACTTAGGACATGAAGAAGACTGAATACAAAATAATAGATTCTTGAAAGAAATCTTAAAGGATGGCATAATTCATGAATTAGCAAAGCAAGGGTATTGAATCTTCTCACATATAATATGAGTGATAATAATAAACATGTACATAAGGTTTGAAGTAGATACCTTGAGAAATAAAAGAAGAACTGTTATAGAAAACATTTTTTTTCATGCAATTCTTACTTCAAGGATGATATATCTAAAATAAAGGTGCAAGAATTATTAATTTTACAACATATGATGTGGGTGATGATAAGAATCATATTCTTTAAAGTTTGAAAGAGATCAAATATTTTTTTTTTATTAATAACATTTTCAAGTTTAAGGGAGAATGTTGATGCTAGAGGTACGAACCTTGTCACATATGATGCGGTTGATGACCGTAAACTTATATTTTAAACTTGAAGTAAATACTTAAAGATCCTGTATGTTTTGTAATTAAGATTGCATACCACTCTTCATTGAATTATATATGTATGTAATTATGCAAATTTGTCAATTTTCAAACATGGAAGAATATGTAAAATATGTATTGCAAATATTTGTACATATTTAAGGTAATCATTAAATTATATGCATTCATTTCTTATTGGAAAAATTGACTTAGAATTTATAGAAAACTAAATTCTAATTACCTCCCTTTATTTACATGAAATATTGAATTCGGTAATATCTTTATGAATAATGTTTTTTGAAACTTACAATATCGATAAATCTTAATTTGAGCATCATAATTTGTATATAAAACCATAAAAATAGTGTGTTACAGGATCTTTAAGAAATAATCAAAAAGAAATGATTTAACTGTGTGAAAACTTTAATCCAAAATCTTGACGCGGTAGCTAATGCTGGGTGAATAGGACACATCTCAATATACTTCCTTCAGTCAAGCTTAAAATAATGTGCATAATCTCCATACTGTCATCTATACAAATTTTAAGTTTCATAAAAATGATTTCAGTACTTTTTGAATTTTAATATTTTAAAACTATTTGAAGCAACCAAAATTTTCAACAGAGGGAGATAAAAGATTTGCGTTATATACAAACTGCAATCTACCCATATGTCAAGTTTCATAAAAATATTTTCAGTACTTTATGCGATATCACGGGATCCAGCTTTTCTATTATATTAGCGATATTTCAAGTATATTAGTTGACGGAGTGTAAGTTTCATTCTGTTAACACGGTAGGGGAATTATAAATACAAAAGAAAATAATATTATGAGCTTACATTGAAGCTTGGATTTGAAAATATCCCAATTAATCATATAATTTTACTGCATATTTTCTTGAAATATCTCAAGTTCACCATACTTTCAGCACAATCAAAGAAAAATCGGGTCAGCTATAACACACACAGTCAAGAAACATGCATCCTTTCATCATAATTGAAACAACTAGCTCAGTTGTTTTATAATCATCTGACGAAACAAAGTTCACATACAAAATTGCCAAGCCCGTTTGTTTTATATGACGTTAACATCGGGTAGCAATTTACGACTTGTCTTCATCATTGTATAACCCATTTGCTATCAAAATATTCGATATCAAAAATTAAATAAAAATACTATATGTCAAAGCTTGTCGAGACTTGACAGAATCTGAGAAAGACTTGGAGAATTCAATCTGTTTTGGTAAAAATGAGAATACAAGCTTTTGGAAAAAATGTCCATATTTATGGGAGGGGTCAGATTAATCTTAAAATTTTAAAGATAAATTTCAATTACATAATTCAAATAATTTCTCTTTAAGGTTAACAGACAGTTAGAACATCAAAAGATTATAGATAAAATGGAGAAAAAAGAATCCATAGAGAGCTTAAACAACGACAAGAATGAAAACGTTTTACGTCGTATGTATGCAAGATCTTCAAGTTATCTTCATATGAAGAAAATTAATCTGTTACAAAAAATATTATTGTTATTCTAAATTTGTGCCATTCAAAATTTAGATTGTTTACATGTAGCATTGTTTTATATTAAAATTATCACTCTTTGTTTACTAAATAATTATTACGCTACAATGATTTTTAACAGTCACGGTGTCAAGACCTACTCACGTGAATTATGTAATTTTTAACCAAATTAAACACATCTCTGTTAATTTAATCGAAGGGTTTTTGGAATAAACATCATTGCAACAAAAGCATTTGACATTTATTTATCTACATATTTCAGCTGGCAAATACGAAATGGGCTCCGTGACGTTAGATGCTGTTATCGAATTTGTGAAGGTGGTAGTAGCTATACTGTTATTTGGAATCTGTATGTATGTATTGTATGATAAAGTTTATATAATTCTTAAAACAACACATATCGTAGCTTTTTATTGTATTTGTAATAATTGATTAGAGAAAACATCAAATGGCAGTTACCGAATTCGGACCTTTTGCATTTAATTTCATCCATATGATAGCATTATAATTTCATTCTGAGCGAGATTTACCTATTTCAAAAGTTTAATCCTTGTATTTGAAGAGTGTACCTTTTTGCAGTCTTTATTGTTATTATATATATTTTTCCTGTTTAGTAGATGATACCTATTGATTTTGAGGTCACTAGATCAAAGGTCACAGGGGCTTTGACTAAAAAATAACCTAAGAATCCTTTGATCCAAAGTCTTCATATAAGGCACAGATATTAGTCATGACCAGTAAACGGCCCCGTTGATTTCGAGGTCACCACGTCATAGGTTAAGGTCATATGGGTCTTGACTAAAAACAGATTTTCCGCCAAATAACTTAAGAATCTTTTGATTTGAGGGGCCGTGACAAAAAAGCTTGTCAGCCCAATAACTTATGATTCCTTTGACCAACATTCTTCATATTTAGTAACGAGATTGGTTATGGTAAGAAGATGTCCCCTATTGATTTTGATGTCATCGGGTCAAAGGTCAAGTTCACAGGGGCCCACTTCAAAAAGATGGTTTGTGCAAAATAGTTCGATAGGTCAAGGTCACAGGGGCTTTTACTACAATAAACTGAACTGGTCAAATGCTTAAGAATGCCTGTCATCAGTGTATTGACTTCCATATTTTCTATTTCTATTAAGTTCTGATATATTCATCATAAAACATCCACAGGTAAGGCTGTAATGAATGGTGGGGAGCTCAATTCATGCATGGTATTTTCAGTTTTTAGGTCAGTAGGTCAAGTGTATAGAATTCTGGAAACAAAGTGATCCATCGGAAGCATTAATCACGGCAAAATTACATAAGAATTGCAGACTCGGTTTTATTGAGTCTGCACATGAAAGATAATGAATAAGTGCAACATCCCTCACGCCCCCTATGTCACTTTTATCTTTGCCACTAAAACATGTAGAAAACTTTAATAAACAATGCACTGGCTTACTACCCTCAGATTTGGCAAGGAGGTTGATTTTGATCTTTAAATGACCATTGTTGATTCTGACAAAAGTGTTATGTGGGTTATTCACGCCAAGGCAGTGGTAGTTCTAATTTAACTTTGGAAACTATTCAATTAGGCGTGCTCCAAGAATGATGTAATATCGATGTCATATCGCTTTTGGCATGCTAAATGCTGATATGACATTACAGACTTTGCACGGCAATTTCACTCAAGCGAATTAACTGTGAGTCGTCTACAAACTAGATTTCAGCGCACATTGACCGTTATATTTCTGTAATGTCACGGTGAAATAAGTCGGAGGTTGGCTAACCACCATAGAAATAAAAGTGACCCTAGAATTTTTGACTTCACAATGCGAGACTCTATGGACGTCGACCTCAAGTAGGGGATATCGTTAACACGACGTTATCGACAGGGTCAAAACGCTTGGGCTGGACTTTACTTTAGATTGAACCATACACAGTTGGATGATGTAACTTTTTAAGGACAAATCAAGATTTAATCTTTCTTTTGCTGACGGATGGTTTTGTGTATTTTCGTGTATTGCAAGCAAATTGATCCAGAAAACGTCATGCAACGCGACCGTTACGGTGGGAAAGTGTGGTGACATGGGTGGGAAATTTTGTCATCGTGATAAAATTGACTGATTACAGTTGCTGATATCTAACCGCAGTGCGATCTTGTGGCGAGATAGTAAAGAAAGTTATTTTCCCGTCTCTGTTACATCATGCACGACTTTAGCAACAGGATAACGCCCGCCCACACACAGGATGTTTTCAGGCGTAATAATATTGCTGTTCTCGCTGAGCCAGCCATCAAGATTACTAGACTTTTCACTAATTGAATACATCTTGCACCATCTGAGTAATTACATGGTCACTGTGAGCGAGTAATGCACAAAGAATTGTTGTTCAAAAACTAATCATCAACAGCATGAGACGAAGAAATGCTGCTGTACTTGCTGTTAACGGAGGGCATACTCGACATTACGACATTAACAATTTTTTTATTTTTCTCCCTTAGATCCCTTACCTGCCATACTTGTTGAATTTCAAAGAAAATAAAAAGCTTGAAGATGTAAGTAATTTAGTTTTTGTTCAATTTAGTATAATCGTATCAAAATAATTTAATTTATACGAACTTGTTAAACATTTTCCTTTCAGTTGTCTTCTCAGGAGTTGCATATTAGCAGTTTCAAAAAGGATACTACCATCGTCAAGTTCACACACAGGTAAGCTCAGGTTTAATCGTATAAACAGAAGGCACATCTTCAAAAATGCTTTTTTGAAAGAAATGTATGATTACATTGATGGTTAATACGTAAATACATTTCAAATGCATGTACTTACAATGATACTTTCCATTTATTTTCAACAAGTTTTAGTAAAGTAACAACCGGTACTTCTAAACTCAAAGCATCAATTTGTCGACCAAGAAATCTTTCAGAAGCATAACATTAAAACGATGTGACATTATCTTAAATTGGATTTCTTTCTCATTCGTAAATATGGTGAACGATCTACAAGATTTTCGTATTCACAAATGAAAAATATCAGATTATACAAATTCAGTTTTATTCGTTTAATACTGAATTGTTGCAATTTAAATTTACAATATTCCTGCTTTATAAAGACTCGAAATTGAAAATTTTTACAGTAAGAAGATTACAAATCCTCATTCTTGAATTATAAAATTCTGATTTAATAAAAAAAAGTTTGTTTTCCGTTATAATTGTTTATATGATATATTCAGGCATATTGCGGTAAGAAAATGAATGGTATACTATACATATGTATTTTCAAGCAGATGAAACAGACCAGCAATTGAATGGAAAGAAGAAACATGTAAAGTTTCATAAAACTATAGATGCAACATTGTCCCACGTTGCGATTCATAAACTTTCAGAAATGATGAAAGCAGTCGGGTTATTATATTGCAATAATTCAGCACGGGGAACGGTGATCAGAATTGGCAAAACATTTATTTTGACCGCATGGCATGTAATTGAACCAATTGTTTGTGAGTATGAAAATTAACATTTATTACATACACGGTTTCATATAGATTAAACTATTACCTAATTATTGAGCTAGTATTATTTCTAGTATTACAACTGATTTTAACTGGATAATAAACGGCTTGATTACACGTCAAATACACGAAAACTATTTTGCTTACAGTTTGCATTAGCTTGCGATGATACTATCACTGATTTTATGAAAATATAATTATTAAATGTAGTTTCAATATGATATCAAAATATAGTTTTAAACCGACTTAAACGATCCATCCTTGATATTGTTACAGCTTACTGTTAATAGTTTTGTGCGCATTTCAGTAAAACCCGGCGAAATTGATAACAATGGTAGACCTAAAACTAGTATGGACTTACAAGCTTTGAAGAAAGACATTATTTACATTGGTTTTACTAAAAATCCCAGAAGCAAAGATCACGACCTCCGATGTGGATTGTTACCAAAAATATGTTTTTTCGACAGAAATCTTGATGTCTGTATTCTTGAATTAGATTGTGATAGCGCTCTTCTTCCTGCGCCATTTAATGATTTCATGGACTTTCGATCAATGTGGGATCGACAAACGCAAAGCAAATTTGTACATGTCATAGGGCAGCATCCAAAAAGAATGATTGTTGTAAGAAAACATCGTTTCAAGCTTTAATAAATTGATATCAAAACAACGGATATGTCAAATTAATAAACGTATTCGTTTGTTTAGTCTATAAGATATATTTAATTTAACTTCCGAAAAGTCTTAAGTCTATTTACGTTTGGTATACAACTAAACAAAGTTGATAATACGAAACTTTAATGGATACAAATTATATAAACAAATTATTTATATAAGTACCATCAAACACTTAGATGATTGTATTACATTCCTTACTTTGTAATTGTTAAATCCATTATGTCTCAAAACAAACCTTTAGAAAATATTATCTGTCTATACACAAGTAAAACCTTTTTCTTGCACTCATTAATATTCTGAAAAAAAGGCTTAATTTAATCATCAGATTTAGGGTATAAATGAAGCTACAAGTAATGATTTTCAGGTTTTAGATGCAGGCTGCAAAGTAATAACAAAAGAAGATGAAAAGGTTAATGAAATCAAAGAATGGCTAAAAAAAAATGCAATGAAAGTTATCAGAAACGGATACAGTAAATATGATATAATAGAATGTTACACATCATACTTTGAAAGTAAGGACTATTTGCTGCTGGACACATATTTAGAATTCGGAGCGAGTGGAGGCGCTGTAGTCTCATTAACACCTGAGGGACACATAGTCTTAGTTGGGGTTCTGCTACAAGGTATTCCAACGTGGTACTGGAATGAAGAATATGTGGAACAAGGCTATACAAATGAGATTCGAATTGAAGTTGCGTGTCCAATATCAAAAATACTAATGTCCAAGGAATGGAGAGGTAATTTTACACAAGAAACTTTGTTACGATTATTAAGATTTGATTTTGAATAATAAGTAGAGTATCGTAACCCTTAAAGCATTGGCAGCCCACTGTGAGTTCGAATTCCGAAAATGACTTCTTCCATATGTTGAAGCTATTAAGCTAGCTCACAGAACGTCGAATGTTCTACAACGGTGCCCACTGGGCCTGAAATAATGCACGGAGTGAGTTCTGAGGTATAACTGTACCATTCAGCTGCAAATCGCCTTTTGAACTCTACTCTGTTGGTGCAACGGAATATAAATCAATAATAAAATTATATTAAAAAATAATAAATACATGGGAAGAATAGAACTTAAATTTTAGCAAACGGCTTTGGATTTCAAATAGACTTTTAACATTCAGTTAATATAAATACATTATTGACAAAACATATGTGAACAGTTAAATTAGGTATCTCTTTTTATTTAAGGTGTGGTAGCGTTTTCGTTTGACTCGTCTGATCATGTATTATAATAACAGGTTGTTTCTGTAGTCATCTTGTGTTGTATCTGTACATTGATTTGTTTAATGTACTGACAGATTAAGAAACTGTTCTTTATTTGCTAAAAGAAAATCAAATATTTTGAGGTATTCCTCCATAAATTAGCATATAATATCCTTCCTGTGTTGGTGCTACAGAATATCAAACCACAGATAAATAAATAAATTCCCGAATAAATGACACATAAATACAATTCAAATTTGAGCACATGGCTTTAGAATTCATATTTATCCAAAACATTTCATTTTACTGTGTGTACACAACATTTACAAAAATTACAGTGAATGCTTAAGATTATATATATCGTTTCATTTTTCATCTTTTGTTGTTTATTAATGTGTTTGATGAGAAAACTGTCCACTATGTGCTAAATAAGTATCCAATATTTTGATATTTATCAAAATGATAATAAAGAACAGTTAATGTTTCCTTCAACCAAATTTTTGAATTTACTGACTTTGTGCCGACATAAATACGCACCAACAAATTATTTGAAAGTAGGATATTAAGTTGAAATACACGAGCTCTGAAAATTCAAATATCAAACAATAATTGATATCGTTCATGATATAATAATTCTTCGATAATTATTTATTGAATATTTGTTCATTTTTAAATTAATGTTACGCATCATTCATTCCAAATTTGCCAGCTAAAATGTTTTTAACCCACCTATTTTTTAAAAGAAGAAAACTTTAATATACGCGCACATGCGTGAAGTATGCTTTGGTGCGCGCGCGCGCGTGTGTGTGTGTGCGTGTGTGCGTGCGTGCGTGCGTGCGTGCGTGTGTGTGTGTGTGTGTGTGTGATTATACTAATAAACATATTTACTTAACAAATATGCTATTAACCAAAAATGTCTTGCCTTTTACAAGAACAATTATTACTCTCTACAATAAATCCAATGCTTATGCATACATAAAACTTTATTTAATGAAAGGAACACATGGCGGTTTATGACTTTATAAATTATATCTCTTACCACTTGAATGAAATAAACAATATAAATCACATTTTGTTTTATTTTGTAACAGATGTGAACATTATTTCAGCTTAGTATAATGTTACATATTGAAATTGACACCGTGTCTGGCATTATGCTAATAATAAAGACCATAAACACAATATTAAGCAATGCAAACGACCATGTGCAACAATTGAAAGCGGTATGGGACCTTTCAATGTAAATTTCTATTGACGAAAATCCGCCGTTAGAAATACCCGCTCCGCCATAAGCCATCCACTCCGTCGTAATACTCATCCGTCCGAAAGAGTCCGCCGGTATAATGTAACTCAAATATAATTTCTATTGACGTAAATCTGCCGTTAGAATACCAGACTCGGCGCTAAAAGTACCTGCTCCGCCGCTATAACTGAAAAAGCTCTACTCCGTCAATAACTCTAATAACTCAATTCAAATGTAATTTCTATTGACGGATTAAAATTCAACCGATATTAGAGTGATATTAGAGCTACTGTCGCTACACTAAACCAATCGAAATTACAACGCCGAATAGCTCGTATGATTTATGTTACTCTGACAAAAAAATTAGTTTTATTACATTCTGTTATAGTATGTATACTGACGGGTTTTTTACACCGCCAAACCGTTTGGCTGTATAACGGTATTGTTACTAAAAATAGTCATTTTCCGCTGAAGTCAATGAATTGAACTTAATTGAACAGAACCCCGCCGTAAGCTTCATTTATATTCTTATCCAGAGAGAGGGATTTGTTAAATGTTTTCATTGGTCAATGCAAAATGTAACTCAACAACAACAACCAGAAACAGAAGAAGCATTACGAAATTTTGGAGATACAGAATCTATGTTGATTTATTTGACAAAACTATATTTGTCAGATTTCAATAAGTGAATAAGTGAGTACCCAATGATCAGATTTACGTTTTGTTTCTTACACGGCTATAAACCCTTAAATTCGTGTTTAAGTAGATCTTAAATTGCCAATAAAGTTAGGGGGATGACAGCTGGTTCTTTTTATTTCAGGAGCATATTAAAATTTTGTTTATCAACTTATTCTGTTACGGACTGCGTGAATTCCACATCTTAATTGTCAATAATTGACTGACTTGTATAAATACTTTACAGTACAGTTAAAAGAAAATGAAACTATAAAAAAAATGAAACTGCCACCTCTGTTGCCAAGTTACAATCTTAATTTCTAATTTGTGCAATACTATATAGGATATATATGTATATATGTGTTTGCTAGGAATTCATTCATCTGTAAACATGTGTATTT